ATAAAATTCCAGTAGCCGATCTAGTAATTAAATGGAAAGTTCTTTTATTAAAAGAAATACCCTAAATGAATTTTAAAGTATTTTTTACTATTAAATTTCAGTAGCATTATTAATATCAGTTTTCTTTATTGTTTTATAGATTTTTTTTTTGTACTAATCGGGCATTCACATAAACAATCGTAACTTATTGAGATTTCATCCGAATTCAATATTATTACAGCAACAGGAAATTTAGGTGCGTAATAAAAATAATAATAATTATTATCCAAATGAGTGTGTAAGTAAAAGTAGCACCTTAATGACAAAAATGTTCGTGAAATCTATTTGACGATGTCACCATAATATCTACAATGATACATTCATTACTCTTATTTTAGAACTGATTCATAAAAATAATATACCTGGGATTCTGGATAAAACCTTACTCTAGATACGAGGGAAGACTAAAAAAAATCTAACATTTGTAGCTGTAGTTTGAGTAAAGTATTGAAATAGTGTCAACCGACCAAAGAAGAAAAGATAGATACAAATTTGGTTAATCCGAAATTTTACATTCTGATTTTTACATTTTAGGAAGTATCTATTGTATTAGGCACTTAAAAAAACGTTATAACAGATAACTATACAAATTTATTTTTTATTTATTTATTCTGTAATGTAACAATCTGTCACACGGACAATGACCGTTGTGAGGTATGAACATATTGAAACCATCTAGAAAATATAAAATAAACAACTAAAGAATAATCAAAAAGTAACTATATTAATAGTTTTAAAGGTTATACTCGTATATGTGTATATATATTCTATTTAAGACGTACGAATATTAACTCATTGGTATTGTCGAAACTAGCAATTATTAAAAATAAACTTTTTTTTTTGTCTATAAAATATGTATTTGCGCCTGTCAACAATAAGTTGACAATCAGCAAATGTGATGGCGATAATTATATAATGACATGACAGGCATGGGGAAGGAAAGTACTCAGCAGTACCTCTTCCCTAACTTGTTCCAATTACTTAGGTTGTATAAGGAAGAAGATCCCTCAAAATAAACTTGAATCCGACTTTGAAAAGATAAAAAAAATGTATCATTATAAAATTTAGTTAGCAAAAACATTTTTGAATGTTTCTTTAGAAAATAGATTTTAGATGTAAAATATTTTGTATAGCTGTATGAATATTTTTCATTATTAAAAATTGACAATATCTTTCCATACGTCAAAATGAATAAATAAATGTCAGTTTTGCGAGTCACGGGATTTCTGTTACTTTTTAATTCCGGGAACTTAAGCTAAATTTTGATATAAAACGTGAAATAAAAAAGTAATTGAACAAAATTTTCACCTACCTTGTTGGTCTAAGTCTATAATGTTAATTTTTTTTTTAATTCGCACATAAATGGAGAACTTTGCTCTATTACTTAAATGGTTTCAATGAGATGTTTTATAAAAAATATGTCAGCATAATTATCTTTTTAATGAACCTGATATAATAAATATATATAAAAATATAAGATTTGATACAGAACTTCAAGCATTCTGACACATCATCAATAAGATAGGATGAGCTGGAAGGTAAAGGAGATACGATGGATCTAGATCGGATTACAAAGTGACAGCTGGACGGATAAGAGGGAGCAGGCATACACCGAAATGTTGACGTAATGGCTGTCCAAAATACACATTCTATCGAATTCGGTCTCATTTGAAGGGAAAAAGAGAGTTTATACTGTTATAAAGAATCGAGTGTATTTAGATTTGTCACATTCGCTTACATTAATTAATTGGGTATATCTATAAAATGCTCTTCATTATAATTTTTAAGGTGAAGGTCAAATAAAAGAATTATATAATATTCGTGAAATACTCTTATGTAAAAAAAAAAAAATATTTATTTCAATTCTATAAGGTCGACTTTTAATGCCAATAACAGCAAATTATCGAAAATTGTTTTTTTTTAAATTATAAACATTTAAAAATAAGCAACTTCTGTATTATGAATATTAGTACTAAATATCCTTCATAATCATATTATAAAATATAACTATTCAAATAAAGATGTATATATATATATATATATATGTATATATATATATATATATATATATATATATATATATATATATATATATATATATATATATATATATATATATATATATAATATATATATATATATATATATATATATATATATATATATTACTTTACTTGATTTCTCCACCCACACCTGTCATAAGTCTAAATCCTCATAAATATACAATCAGGCCAATTGCGTGGAGTTGCAAATAGTACGGCGCTTTGTATATACATTTGGCAACGCTGAACGGCCATGCGTTGTATGAGTAAAGCTCCTTACCGTTATACCATCTATTAGTGTATTATTCCTCAATTAATAAGACAAGAATTAAAAACTATCAATCATTTATTTAATATTAGAGACTCGCTTTAGGATCAGTGACGCAATTGAGAGAGTAGTGCAGGCATCTACTGCAGTCCTGATTTTTCTTAAAAACTGATTATTACTTTATAAATAAACAATAATTATTCATTTATTTGAAAATTATCTAATGTAAAATATGGAAGATATTTTCGTAAGCTGGTAGAAGTTTGGTGGATATAAGATCACTAATACAGATGTATAAAATAACATTGGAAAGATAAAAATTAATATACAAAATCTTGGAAGATCATTCAAAGTAGTGAAAAGGTAATGACTTTTAATTAAGGTATACTATGTTTTTTAGAGATCATTACAAATACCTATTGATACTGTTACACGGTAACAGTACAAAAGGTAATAATTTTAAATGCTTATTCTATTTGAGCTAAATACATTTTGTAGTCTTCTGCAAAACTGCAATCTCTAGTCTGCTACTATGGAAATTAGAAGGGGAAGTAAAATATAAGAAATTATACTAATAAATACTATTTAAGATTACTTCTTACAATCAGAGACCTGTCATAAGTTCTATTAAATAAAATTGAAGGTGTCATAAGGAGAGAAATTTTTAAAATTTGGCATTCAAACCATGTCAGACTATCTTCGATAAGAATGAGATCTAACTAATATTAAATACCATTTACAATTTACATTGATATAACAAGTTTAATCCAAATGGTTTTTATTTAATCTTTAAATATTATTTCTAAAAGTTTTTGTTTTCTGTCAGTACAATATATCTTTGATATTTCATCACCAAATCCAATGATTGAACGGTCATTTTGAAAGCTTTTCTCTTTTTCAGGTGGGAAAAATAGACTAATACCCTCTCCCTAAAATTTCAGAAAAAATGTTATGAAGGAAAAAAAAAATATATATATTTACGATTAATTAAAAAAGTACACATCAGCTCATTATTAGCAATGGTACACTGATTGTAATTTTTAAACATAAATTCAGTTTTAATTAATTTTCTTTTCCTTATTCGATAAATTACCGAGTAAAAGATATTTGTTTCCTCCATCTTACAACTCATTGCATTAACTTATGTCGTTATTGATTGGCCATTTGTGCATTGACCAATATACTATCCGAATTATTAGTCCTTGCATTACTATTATCGATGTATTTGTAAAAAAAATTTAACATACATACAATGTGTAATGTAAACAATCAAATTATACCCTATGAGATTATCGATCCTTGGTCAATTATATCAGATATACTTGAACCAATATTCGTATTTTAAATATATTTTATATGTAAACACCAACAAATAGCTAGAAAATAAATATTATATTATTTTATCTCAGTCAACAGAAAATATTATTTTAACTAATAAGCTGTTTTATTATTATTTTAAATCAATTGCTCACCTCTCTTTTAAATATAACAAATATTAAACATTGTAGAGTTTGCAAATCATCTACGCTTTCTGATTCGCGAATCAATCTATACCAGAATATACTCAGTAACACGAGAAATAAATAATTAGTAAGGAATTAAACAAGGATTGTCTCCGAGCCGTGTCTGATATTGGCAGGTCTAGTGTACTCCAGTCTTCTTCGTTTGGAAAATTGTCCTCCGGAACATCTTAAATTCAATTTTCCTAGTTTCCCGGAGAGCCAACTCCCTGCCGAGAAGTTGTAGAAAGCTGCTCGAGGGTGTTTGCCTTTTGTCGTAGGGCTAGGCTGATAATAACCTAACTCTCCTCGCCTCTAGATTGACCCACTAGCGGAGTTGATAGTGCAGTCAATAGTTGGGTTCATTTTTCTTTGAATTTTAAAAAAAATGGAACAATTTGATTTTAATGTATATCAAGTTGCACCTCCCATATTTGAATACGTTACTAACCCTTCAGCTCCAAAGGCGATTCAAACTGATAATGGTCCGTGAATTTTTCCAATAACTGCATAAAAATGTGTCTTTAGAATGCGATTGGATTTCAACACTTCCATAACAAAGTAATAATATTTTGCATTTTATTAGAAACTATTATTAGTCCTAATAGATAAAAATAAAGAAGAAATCCTAACGATGGCAAATCAATTAATAAAGGCTGGAGAATACATAGAACTGAAAGTGAATTATAAGAAATGCAAGTATATATCAGTGAACGTTGAGAAAGATATAAAAATAGGCGAACACCATATACAGAAAGTAGATACATTTTTCTATCTTGGGCACCTTATCTCAATTAAAGGACAAACTGAAGAAATAATCAGGCGATGTACCCAGCAATCTTCAAATTTAAGGATATATATAGATCCTCGGTGAGCTCAGATGCCAAGAGAAAACTTTGGATGAGCATAGTACTTCCTGTCATGACATATGGTTGTGAAACATGGGCAATTGACCAGAAGACACCACAAATTGAGGATAACCGTCAGAGGAATGGAGCGATATCTTCTCAGGATAACTCGAAAGGATAGAAAATCAAACAAATGGATCAGAACTAAGACAGACCTTCCAGTGGAAAAAGTGCACATCAGGAAGGTAATAATTTTAAATGCTTGGACCTGGTCCGGACATGTAATCAGGAGGAATGAATTAACATGGACCAGACAGTTTATGGATTGGTATCCAAGAGAGCACGTCAGGAAGAGAGGACGCCCGCCGACAGAGTGGGACAAGGAGATGAAGAAGACCTGCGGGGGAGCAGCCTGGAAGAGAGTAGCATTAGAGAGGAGAGAATGGAAAAGGATGGGACAGGTTCATTACCTATTGTGGTTACAAGAAAGTTAAGTGAAAGAAAAAATAAGAAAGAAATCGAACTTAAAACCTGAACTAAGTTGATTTTGTACATATAAGAGATTTTGTATATATCTATTTTTATCCATTGTTTTTTTCATTGTATGTACAAATAAAGGTTATTATTGTATTATTATTATTCGTCAAGTGGTCGAAATTCGAACATAATCATTATGTATTTTTTTTAATTTCTTAATGATATTTACAATTGTATTAGAGAAATACATTTAGTAAATTTGAACATATGGATATAATGACGTGAAAACACTTGTTGAGAAACTACCCCATGGCAGCACTCTAATGATATGTCTACACTAGGAGATCACTGGGCCGGCCATCTTCTTTTCAGACGCCTCGGAGGAAATTGGAGAAGAAGTAAGGCTAGAAACTAGAGGGTTCGGATGATTCTAAAGGTTTTGAGGGAAACCGGTCTCTACATTCTCACAGAGAACGATTTTCCTCAGTTAGTCACTGCGGAAAACTACCCATACTACAAAGATTTTGTCTACGGGTGGAAAGTCGCGGTGGGGCCAGCCCATTTTAATTTAAGAAGAGGAGGAAGAGGTACTATACCATTGGCGTGAAACGGATGAGGAAAGCAACCATGAAGAAAGAGGAAAAAATGAAGAAAGAGCAGAAAGAGCAGAAGAACGAGATTCATTTGCAGCAGTGAGATATTGAGCTGACCTGCCTAACATCTTACTATTGCAGACACCCGTATTGCCTACTAGGCACGGCAGGGTTGATAAATAAATAATAGATTCTGAAGTTTATTATGGAAGGATATGTATCAAGATTGGGCCAGATCGGAAACCTAAGAAACATTAAGGACGGTTTTATTTGTAACAAAGTAGGGAGCATTGACGATTTTACGAAGGGTTTTCGATTTTAAGGATTGGATATGGGAGAAATTCGATGGTTTAGTGGAGCCCCATAGCTCAACTCCCTAAGTCCAAATAGGCCTTATTATAGTCATGTATATGAGTCTTTTGTAATTCATTGGAAGTTTACAGTGTTTGTCTAGTAAGTAATGAAGTCATCGGAAACGTCGAGCGGTTTCATTTCGTTTCAGTCTGGTATGAGAATTCAATATTTAAAAAACAAAACAAAAAAACATAAATGAGTTTACATGTTGGAAATATTTTTTCTATTGTTATATATTTCTACATATTTACAAGTACATAAAAACGAAAACAAACAGTACCAATTGTATAATTTCTGAGTTATTGACAAATAATAAAACGAAAAACCATCGTAATTTTTTCAAACAAATATTTGAACCCAGTTTGACTACGCTGTGAAAATTTGCTTTAGCCAAGTTTTTCGGCCGCCATTTCGAATAGAAAGGCCGAACGGTAATAAAATGTATATACAAGCACTTCTGAATTTTATTGTAACGTTGTACCGAAATTTCAAAGCAATCGGTGAAGAACTTAAGAAGATTTATCTTTATCTTTTATTTGTTTCTAATTTTTTTATTAATAATACTGAAGATCGTCAATAGCTACTAAAGAAGGAAAAGGAAATGGGTTGAGAAACAGAGGAGAAAAGGAGACTGGACTGTTTTGCCTTTGCCTATTTGTATAATGATTGTCTGGTTAAGTATTGTATTTTTCATACCAATTATACGTTAAAACTACGACTGATAATTTATATAACAATTGTATATTATCAGCATCTGTCCGTATAAGGGAGCTAAAATCAGCACATAGCATCGAGAAAATGATAATTGTGTTAGTGAAAATCTCCCTTGATTCAGGAGAGAAGAACTCTCATCCAACTCCTTTTTACTAACTTCCTAATTGGCTGACATACGTCTGCCAACGTATCAGTCCTTGAAGTTTACTATGGTAATGGAAAAAACATATTACACATACGTTGGACATTTTTCAGTTTTTTAAGTAGGTTTGTAGATTACCTGTTTCGTTAATTAGCTATAAAGTAAAATCTGATATTTGTCTTAAAATTTAAGATAGTGAAAATAATGTAGTTTTTGTAAGTGTTTCTGTAGAAAATATACTAAAATATACAATCAAAAATATCCACATGGATTTACGTAGGTATGAGTATATATTTATTTTCCATCTAATTTTCAGTTTTAATGATTTATAAAAAGAGAATACATTAGTTTTTATTTTAAGCTAGTTTAATTTTGTTTACGTTTATTCGTGTATATATATATATACATACATAAAATATCAAATGTTATCGAGAAATGCAGCCTCCTTTTTGAAAGTTTATCCTTTGTTTATGAAATAAGTTATTGTATTTTTTTCAATTTAGAATGAAATGTGAGAGTAATTATCGATACTTTAGTAGTAAATTTGATACATAAAATCTCTTGAAATGGCTAAAAAATAAATTTATTTAAAGGAATATATATGAGACTTCACTTCTTTAACTTATATCGATTCAAACATAACATGATGTATCTCATAAAATGCATACGCTTGAGAAGAACGGTCTGATATTTTATTTGTCTTTCCAGCCAATGTAATGTGGAATGGGTTGAAGGAATTCATTCCGATTCCCGCTCTTCCTCCCTCTCACCCTCCCCCCAACAAAAGAATTTCCTGGAAATCTCTGATATACTCCAGTAACCTTGGGTAATCTTCCTCCAGTATCTTTACATAATATTAAATTTAAACAATAAGGCGCATTCATTTCTTTGTATTGATTTTAATGTATCTATAATAATCTAGGAATTTAAGATATAAGTTTATAATAAAATGTAATTATAATTGTTTTTTAACTGCTATTTTTTTATACGCACATATCATAATAGTAATGGCATAATGAATAAATTCGGTAATATTAATGAATGACATAATCTTAATATTAATTATCCTAATTAATTAATTAGGTGTCCATTACAAAATATATCATGACAGTCATGAGGGGGACCAGTCCATTGCGGCACCTCCTCCTGGCGTGAAATCTACATTAATTGTTAGGCGAAGAGGTCCCTCATCCAGCTCCTTTTCAACTTTCTTCAGGACATTACCTGGCATGTGTGATGTGATTATGTCATTAACGAGTATGTTGGGAAGTCTTTGTGATTTGTCATGTAATCGTGTGTAATGGATTTGTATGTGTTCGTTTACAATCGGCATATGAACATAAGTGTGCAAGATTATGTTAATAAAGTACTAAGCTGCTTTTGTAGGGGATGTTTTTGGTTGTAAAATTAAATACGTTTTAGGAAGTAATTGTGTGTATTCGATTTCTCTCTAATAAAGAACACAGATGTCTGATTGTTCTTTTGGTTCATTATTTTCAATAATGAACCATTGTAATCGAACAAAAAATTCAAAAACTTAACTCCCCTACAAAAATTTGAGGTTTTACGTTTCAGGATGCGTAGAATTCGAAAAAAGAATACAATTTTTTTTTCCGTCCACTGTCCGCGCATTTTCTCCGAAACTACTAAAGATGATTCTCCTTCACCAGCATTACTATCCCCCCTTTCCTTTCAAAATGGCGGCTGAAAAACCTGTGTTTCTATAGACTGTAGCGCCTAAACGAGTTTACCGATTTCAATTAAACTTGGCTGAAATCTTTTCCTAGATGCCCTTTAAACTTATCTATATAAGATACTTCAACAAAAACAAGCTGGAAAGAAAGTTACGAGGGATGGTAAAATTACAATCTGAATAACTCAAAAAGTATAGACTTTTTTGTTGATATTGTGATAAGATGTTTCAAAAGGTATTTAAGTTTCTTAAAAAAACGAAGAATGTTTCATCGAAATCGGAGCACTCACTATTAGTGAAGATACAGCGATTTTTAAATAATTTTGGTTTATTATTTTCAATAATGCATCATTGTAATCGAACAAAAATTCAAAAACTTAACTCCCCTCCAAAAATTTGAGGTTTTACGTTCCGGAATAAGTAGAACTGAAAATAGAATAAAAAAGTTTTTGTCCGTTTACCGTCCCCCGTCCACCATACGCCTGACGGGGTACAATGTTATTTTTTTTTTTAGCAGATTAGTAATGATAAAAAATATATTTAGGCAAATAATTGGAATTAACCATTTATTTCTTTTAATTTGTCACTAGAAAGGTAATATTACTTTAGATGTATAATTGTTGGGAAATAATAAACCATTGTGAAATAATTAGCAGCGGTTTTTTTTCTGTGATTTGAGGGTCCCATTGTCATTTTTCGGCCAAATTTCAGACCAAGTTAATGAGCGGTATTTGTCTCTGTAATCTGTTTGTTGCCAAGAAAAAGTGGAGGGTATGTTTCATGTCGAAGGGTAATCGTGATCTGCTTAGATTTGTCTTTATTTAGTCGGATTGTTCAACGTTTTAACCAGGTTTTATAAATAGTGTTGTAGTGTATGTGAGGCGTATCTTGGATTTTTGTGTCTTGCTAAAATCGCTGTGCCGTCCGTATATGTCAATGTTAAAATGTTGGAACAACAAGGTAAATATAAATTAATGGTTAATTTAGTTAATATAGAGTTGTTAGTTAATTTATATAAACAAAATAAACATTCATTTAAAATAATCACGGTAAAGATAATTTCTTTATTATTCTGTTTCTCACATTTCTCTATTTAGAAGTATAATAAAAAAAAGCTTTCAGATAAGACAGGAGAGGTACAGATACTTAAAAACTCAAGCACTGCCACCGTTTTCTTCTAATGGATACTCCAGTAGGTTTTGTCTTGATAAATTGTATTATTTAAATATTTCAATGTGCCTAAAAATGTATTTTAGAAATAGGATTGGTCGCAACTCAATATCACAATGAAAAATGTAAAAAAATCATTCTTATAAATAATTAATACTGACACAAGCTGAATTGTATTATTTAATATGTGATGAATAAAGAACGGTCAATGATATTAAATCAATTGATAATTACGACATGTGGAAAATCATACCCAGGAGATTTTCCTTTCGGTCTTAATTCATTGTCTATATTTAGGAGAGAAGGTCCTTCATCCAGCTTCTTGTTAGTCGCCGATGGGTATTTTAATCGTAGTCATATCGTTCATCAGTCTCTTGTTATTTCCATGAATTTTATTATAAAAACGGTATTATGGGATATGTGCTGGATGTGAAGGTCATACGGTGTGTGGACGATCTGGTTGCTATAAAGCACAAAGGAGCTTCTACCATGAGTATTCAATTTTTAAATTGAAAAGTAGTTTTAAAGTAAAATACTATTTTAAGTGCCTCTAAAACACTACCTTTCCTGCATTAAAGAAGTCATTTGTTATTGTCACATTTATGATAAGTATGGATAAAGTTTTATGAAAAAAATCGGTATATATATATATATATATATATATATATATATATATATATATATATATATATATATATATATGTATATCTTTAAAAAACTATTCGTTCCTTCACTTGTCTATTTGCTTTAATAATCTCTTTAATGTTATGTAAAATTAAGTTATTAAAAAAAATAAATTTAAAGTTTTAATCGTAATATTAAAAGGGGTACCTGAATATAAATGATTTTACGCAGATTTCTCATCTCAAGTGGTGTTTAATATTCTGAATCTGGGCCGAGATTATGTCGAATAAAAGAGGATGGGACGGGAAGGTCCTAGAAGAGGATGATATTAGAGGTGACTGTTGGTGTTACACCGCCCTGATATTAAACAGCTGTCCCGTCCGGTGCCCATCTTCCCTTTTATATTATACTTTTACATCAGAAAATATTTAATATTATTTTTATAAGCCATTAAGTGGACTTGAGTGGGCACTCTATTGATACGATAAATCATCCCTTATATGGACAGTAAAGGGTCGTTGACTTGGTAGGTTCACATATGAGATGTTCAGTGTTCAGCATGAGTGTTCAGATATGTGATGTGAAAGAAGCGGATCCATCCAAACTTGAAGACATCATATAGTAGGGTGGTTGGAATATTATAAAAGAAAATTGGATATTCATTGGAAAGGAAATATTGGAATAAATATAAAATGAAAACTCTTCATAACTATATAATATGTTTAATTATAGAATTTACAGGATTGCATCTTGCTAGAAGATTCATCCTGTAATACTTTTATATATCAGTATCTAAACTGACAGCACATTGTTAAAATCAACTTATTAATCAAATTTTGATTCAATTCAATTGATAAATTAAATTTGTTTAAATATCACATTTTATTTTTTATTTTTTTGAATCCACAGGAAAAAAACAAAAATCTGAAAATAATTTCTCTCTGATATAAAAAACAATTAGTAAATTTTAAAAATAATTTTATCATTTTTTCATCAGTTAAAACTATCACGAAACATTTTTAAAAAGTTCTATTTTAACAGTTTCTGTGAAACATTTTTGGAAAAGTGTTTTTTAAATAAAAGTTCTAAGGAACATATTCGTAATAAATTTCTTGCTTTGTTGTAAAAAATAACTCCCTTATCATAGTTCATTTAAGTACTTTATAAAAGCTAAGCTAGGTGAGAAACAAAGTAGTTGGGCTTCAATAATTGCTTAGTAATAACAAATTGCTTCAAAAGAACAAAAGTTATTTAAAACCTTACCTTAATAAGCTGTAGTGAAAAAAACAACAACTTAAAATAATGATTCCAGCCAAACCGAAACTGATTAAAATGAAAGTTAAATTTCATTTCAAGCCATGATTTTTATTTGCTTTAACTTGGGAAAAGTATTTAAACCAATATCGATAAATAGTCCAACAATTATAGAAATCACCAGGTTTGGGGTAAAAAATAAAGAATACCAAAGGATTATGTATTCATTAGTGTAATATCGTTAGTAGAGAATGCCAAACACGAGTTACCTGGCAACCTGATAAACTTTTATTTATTTTTCCTCCTTTTCTTGCCTTTCGGCTACACGGGATTTTGCAGGGATAGCATATCACACACGTGCATGCCATTCCTGCTATTAAACGAAAAATTCATTATCAATTTCGTTTTGTTATTTCAAAAACTCTTCTTTTTTTCATCATTTTCGTTTCACTATATTAGTCTGGTGGCTGTCCATTAGCAAGTCCTCTTCTTCCCAGATTAAATTTTGAGGGCCCCAGAGCAGCTTTCCACCTCTACACAAAATCTTTGTAATACAGGTAGTTTTGCTCCGCAACTACTGGAGATATTCGAGGCCTTAGACTCCAATTTTTCTCGTCATTTCGGCCCTTAGTCCATCAAAGGTGCAGTTGACGATGACATGATCAGCTGTCTCCGGTACACCGCAAGTGGGGCACAAGGAATCTATTTCTTTTCCAAAACTATTTAACTAAGCGCGGAAACCCCCATACCCCGTAAGGAATTGAGAGATGCAATCTGATAAACTGGAGTTTAAATGATAATATAAATACGAGTTCGTGTCCTGGTGCTGGTGGTGTTTTTTAATCTGACATTAACGATCCATCCTCTCCCTTGGCCCGGGAAAAAAACTCTATACACTCTGAAAGACGAGAGAGAAGTGCACAAAAAATCTGAAAGTGCAAATTAGTAGTTTGCTTTAGTTTAGGGTGAGTGGAGTAAATAATATGTCTGTTATTCTACCAACTGGTGGGGTGGTATTCCGGATGGGAGTGAATGTACAGGAATGGTGTTTGTTGAATTCCTCACGTATCATCATCATACATTACTTAG